GGCGCCTGGGGGGTCTCCCTCTGCCTGGGGCTGCTGCCCGTCCTGGGCTGGAACTGCCTCCACGACCCAGCCGCCTGCAGCATCGTCAGACCCTTGACCAAGAGCAACGTGACACTGCTGTCTGCCTCTTTCTTTCTCATTTTCCTCATCATGCTCCATCTCTACATCGAGATCTGCAAGATCGTTTGCAGGCATGCCCACCAGATAGCTCTCCAGCAGCACTTTCTGACTGCTTCACACTATGTTGCCACCAAAAAAGGGGTCTCTACCCTGGCTATAATCCTCGGGACTTTCGGAGCCAGCTGGCTGCCCTTTGCCATCTACTGTGTAGTGGGGGATCCCAACTACCCCTCTGTGTACACATACGCCACGCTTTTACCCGCTACCTACAACTCCATGATCAACCCCATCATTTACGCCTACAGAAACCAGGAGATCCAGAGGTCCATGTGGGTGCTCTTCTGCGGCTGCTTTCAGGCTAAAGTGTCCTTTCGCTCCCGGTCCCCCAGCGATGTCTGAGTGACTTTTCTCTCTGTCGTACCACACCAAGTGACAATCTACCCAGTGAACTATCACAGTGCCTGTTCTAAACTTCAAACTGCGTCGTGAAGATATTGGAAACATGCTTAAGTATTAGCACTTTATACATGTTTGTATCTCTGAGAGTGGTTCGGGGTATGGCATTTTGGGTTCCGTGGGGAAAAAAAGAAAAAGAAGTGGTTGTATATAAATTTGCACATCACATTTGTGAAGTGAAGACATTCCGATACTGCTTAATTATAGCACCTTATTTCTAGCTGCTGACCTGCCACAACAGTGTTGCCTTTCTGAAGGGCAGAGAGGAAGAAAGTTGGGTTTGTGATGTATTTGTATGTGTGCATGTGTTGGGGGGGGAGGGGGGATGTATGTATGTATGTGCGTTTGTATGTATGTGTGTATCTATACTCTGCTGCACAATGTTGATAAATTATGACATTTTGTACACGAATAAAACCATATAAAATGTAATATAACTTTGTGTGTTTAGATGCTTTTAGAAATAAGCGAGCTTGCAAATTTGCCTGTTGAGCAAATTCCCTTTGTTTACTTTTGAAAGCTCCCAGTGTAATTCTGCCTAAAGAGATCATCATTCACTATGGAGATGAAATACTGCACCAAGAAAGGCACCTTCCTGCTTGCTTGCTTGCTTGCTTGTTTGTTCTCTTCTTTAGTCTAGCAAACGGAGAGTAATGAAGAGCACAAACTGCTTTTATTTTCCAGCAACCAAAGAAACAAAAAGCCCACTCAAATAGGCTGCTAATTACAGTTATTTGTCAGGTTTCCAGTAGCTTTCATCTTCAAGTTGTAAGTTAGCTCTTCATGATAATGCTCCATTAAAAAGTTACCAAACTGTGGGGAAAAATCAGTCTCTAAGCCCAGCTATTTTTGGCCTCTTTCAGTTTAACACTGGAGGGAAAAAAAAGAGGAAAAAAGGTCACAGTCTCCTTCCCTGAAAGCCTGTAAAATGCCACAGTAAATTGACTTTCCTTATCATCCCTGGTTCTGAGGGGAACCTGAATTGTTTCTCCCCCTCCTTTGTTCGGACACCGTGCTGTAGAAAAATCATTTAAGTGCATCTTTGCTCTCTGCCTGTCTAGGAGCAGTATACAGTTCTCTGATAATCCCACATCTTAGTGGCTTGAAAGAGCCCATCAGAGGTCAATGTTGTTCAGAGTTCAGGAACACTTCTTCCCTCAGGTTCAAATCCACCGGCCACTGATTTATTTAGAGCAATGACATGCGTGGCAGATTTCAGAGGCAGTGTTACTGCTTGTTTATATACAGTTATGCTACGTTTACATCCTGATTATGTTCTAGTTTACCACTGTCATTTCAATTTACATTTAAGGGCCAGAATAAGGTTACTTTTATGTGCCTAGTACCATATGAAAAGTTCAGACTCGTGTTTCCCAGCTTACGACTGAGTAATGCATCAAGCCTTTACCTGCTGGAGCAGCTGGGCCACAAGCATCCACCAGGCCTCAGCAAGGCTGTGAATCAGTAATGCTGTATTTATGTGTATGCAAGTATTACGAAAACCTGTATCATTTCTCTGATAATACAAAGATATTTATTAAAAAACATTAATTTCCAGATTCAGCTAGCCCCATTATTTTTATCAATTCTAATAATCACAAATGTGATATTGTAATTGATGAATACCTTCAGGCGCGCCAGTTCATCGGGGCACTGTTGCAGTCATGTTACAAGTATGATTTAAACCAGATCTTATGATAGGTCAGAACTCTGCTCACATGAAGAGCTCTAAAGTTGCTAATGAGAAAGATTACATTTTTCCTCTTTTAAGCCCCCATATCATACACTAGTCTAAGCTAGTAAATAAAAGAGGTCAAGTTCTGCCCTCTAGCCCTGCAGCTGGGTGGCACAGAGTGTGCCTGAACTCCTTCCCCCCTGAAAAGCTAGGGACCAAACTGCTGGCTGGAGCATCCTGGCCCTACTCTAGTAACCTGCACAGATTCAGCCAAAGGTGCTGCATCACCCACAATAGTAACTGCTGACAGAAAAGACCAGCAAGTGCCTCAGACTGGTGAAATCTGGAAAAACTCCCTGGTGAAACTGGAAAAACCGCCATCTGCTAGGCTTCAGTCTCATGAATCTTTGTCATTCCTGTGTGGGCCACAGCAAAACCACAGGGCAGGGTTGCCATCAGTTCCCTTACCGAGTGTTTTCCTCGCTCCCTGGCACTGAACTGGCACCCAAGTGTGAGATGCTGAGTGGAAACTGAGCAGGGTCCTGGGAGCCCTGGGCAGGCTCTGAAGACCAGTATCAGATCTAAAAGCCCTTAGGAGAAACTTCACATGTGTCCTTTTAGACCATGAAGTTAGGGAGACAGAATCTGCCAGAGACCACCCCTGATGCCACCTGCCTCCATTAACTCTGCCAGCAAGTGGGCATCAGGGATTTTCACCATAAAGTCATTAAGCAGTGGCAACCAGTATAAAAATTAGATACAGAAGACTTGGATGGATAGAATCCTACTTGTGTAATAAACCACTTAATCCAGGAGTGAAAAGGATTTAGGTGAGTTACCTTTCCATTTTTAGCCCAACGTGTTATTTGTTTTGTTTCATTTTTTTACTATATGACCACATTTTCGGTTTAGCACTTTCCCAAATTATTTACTGTAGCTACAAAATAAATCTAGACCCCTCCTGTTAAAAACGTGACACTTCCAAGCTGTTTACAACAGTGTTCTTCCACTCTTCTAGGAAGCAAGTTTGAGTTAGAGTGATCTTAGACATTGATTTTGTTGGGACAGTACAAATGAGGGTTTTTTTCCTATATACTATATTCACAAAGCTTTTGATGACCCGTAGTTTCTGGGCAAGACTAAGGCAAAAGAGGAGAGAGTATTTTGATGGGTTTTTTTGGTTAGTCCTGAGAGTGGAATTGATGTCAACCTGCTTGCAGTAAAATACAGCCTTTCATTTTCAAAGTGAGTCCTGATCTGCAGGGATACCTGAGCAGAATAACATAAAGCAGGCTACACAATCTCCCATCTCCCAGAATAACATCTTACTTTAGAAAAAGAAGAGCTGCAATTCTGATGGAGGAAATCCAGGAATTGTGTACAGCATGATGCCTATATTTTCCTTGTTGAGTTTTTTATTGAAGCAGCAGACATTTATTTGATAAAATGGTGCTGCATTTGCAGTGTATCTGGACCCACAAACTCCTCCTGCCTTCAGACAATGGCACTTTTACCTTTGTCATGAAATGATTTGTGGAAGACAAAAATTCCTGGACCCCCTGTTGCCAGTCACTGGGCAGTGCATCGCCATGACCCACACACAGCCCTGATGAGGAGCCAGCTTGGAGAACAACCATGCCCTGTGTCTGATCTTGTATTTCCCAAAGTCAGCGGGCAACTTTGCCTGCACAGAGACTGCAGAACTGCAATAGGAATTGCCATTACCACTGGTGAGTGCGCATCTTTCCTTGTCCCTGCGGGCCCATGTGCTCAATGTTTTTTACATTCTCACATCAGTGGCACAGTCTGTGAGGGGAGAAAACACTGCGTGAAGTACAAGGACCGGTCCCAGTGTTTGGTAATGATATATTATATGTAGCCTTTACTGAAAATGGAAATGAGATTTCCTGCTTTACCACCCTTAAAAATTCTTTGGCTTATTCTGATGTAAATAAAATAATGCCAGTCTTGGTCTAAAGAGCTCTGAGCCTGCTCCACTAAAGCCAGCGATGCTCTATTGCGCATCAGCCAGGATAATGACAGTATCTCATTATAAAAAATTACCATTTTGAGGCAGGAAGTCCTCGGCCTCAGCTCCAATTTTCATTAGAAACTAATGGTTTATTACTAACCTTGAAGCTTATGGGACTTGCAGTGCCTTGGAAGGCCTGATCCTGGCAATTTGGCTTGCGTGAAGTGCCTCTCTCTGTGATTAGCTCCCTCATTTCGGTGGGAGCAATTACAGGAAAAAGTGCACAGCTCTGGTGAGGAAGGCCTGGTCAGGAACCAAAAGTCTCCCCACTGCTGGGTTTTCTGTGGGACCTCTGCTGAAATCAGTGGTGTAACAGTGGAAACGAGACCAACTCTGCAGGCTGCTTTGTATGAGTCACTGTATATTAAAAAGCCAGCTGGATTCAAAACCACAGGTCAAACAAAACCTCTTTATTTAGCTAAGCAAACAAAAGGACAAAACACTTTTAAACCTGAAAAGTGAGTCTGTACATATTTTTATCAATGCAATGATCCACAGGTACTAACACCCAGCAAAGCACTAGAAGCCCTAATCTCCATTCTGCTGCTCTTATTTTAAAAGGACAATCTTTTCTAATGAGTTAAAAATAATTTCTAATAGTGCAGCTGCTCCTCAGCTCTTCAGCTACCTTTTGTGGTAGTCATTTAAATAGAAAAAAAGACAAGGGGGGGGGGACAAAAAATCATGTTTTCTCCTTCTTTGCTGCTTCATGATGGAGATATGCAACTCGGAGATCAAGCGGTGACCAAGAGGGTATGATTCAGCTCTGCATGGAGGGTGAGCACGTCTGAAGCTCACCAATCCCTGCTGGGTTTGCTTGTTTGGGGGATAGTCTGAGCTATGAGGTGTATCCCTGTTGCCTGGTCTTCATCGAGCGAACTCCTCCCTGGGACCTGCTACAGCTGAAAGCTCATGGATCAACTCCTATGCTGCTGCTTTTTGCTTAGCAGTGCCACACAGAACTCCCCTGGGTGGAGAACTGATATGCCTGTCACTACCCTCTCAATGTTTAAGCTTTTTCCTCTGATTACAGAAATTTCTGCAAGGGAAAACATTCCCCCAAGGGCAGTTTCATTTATCAAGGGCAGTAACTTGGTACGGGAATAATTCAGCTGCTGCTGGGGCACCTACAGAGCCATACGTACTGATTCAGCACTGACAGTAGAGTTGGCAATTAGTTCAGGAAAGGCAGGTCTGCTCGTGTCAGCTCTGCCTGCTGCAAAGAAGTGACAAAAG